CCTCCTTCCCATGCACAGTCCTCCTTCCCAAGCACAACCCTCCTTCCCATGCACAACCCTCCTTCACCTCCTTCACATGCACAGTCCTCCTTCCCATGCACAGTCCTCCTTCCTATGCACAGCCCTCCTTCCCAAGCACAACCCTCCTTCCCATTCACAACCCTCCTTCACCTCCTTCCCATGCACAGTCCTCCTTCCCATGCACAACCCTCCTTCCCATGCACAGTCCTCCTTCCCATGCACAGTCCTCCTTCCCATGCACAGCCCTCCTTCCCAAGCACAACCCTCCTTCCCATTCACAACCCTCCTTCACCTCCTTCCCATGCACAGTCCTCCTTCCCATGCACAGTCCTCCTTCCCATGCACAGTCCTCCTTCCCATGCGCAGCTCTCCTTCCCAAGCGCAACTCTCCTTTCCATGCACAACCCTCCTTCACCTCCTTCCCATGCACAGTCCTCCTTCCCATGCACAGTCCTCCTACCCATGCACAGACTTCCTTCCCAAGCACAACCCTCCTTCCCATGCACAACCCTCCTTCACCTCCTTCCCATGCACAGTCCTCCTTCACCTCCTTCCCATGCACAACCCTCCTTCCCATGCACAACCCTCCTTCCCATGCACAGCCCTCCTTCCCATGCACAGCCCTCCTTCCCATGCACAGCCCTCCTTCCCATGCACAGCCCTCCTTCCCATGCACAGCCCTCCTTCCCATGCACAGCCCTCCTTCCCATGCACAGCCCTCCTTCCCATGCACAGTCCTCCTTCCCATGCACAGTCCTCCTTCCCATGCACAGCCCTCCTTCCCATGCCACAGCCTTCCTTCCCATGCACAGTCTTCCTTCCCATGCACAGCCCTCCTTCCCATGCACAGCCCTCCTTCCCATGCACAGTCCTCCTTCCCATGCACAGGCCTCCGGGCCTCATCGGGACTATGCTGTCAGCACAGGCCAGCTTCCCACAGGGAGGCCCCCTTGGAATTCCCCAAGGGCGGCTGTCTTTCCAAGGCTACACCCTCCTCCTTGTATAGGAGGCTCTGGACCCAGGGCCCAGAGGAGTGGGAGAAAAAGCCAGGCTGGATGGGACCTGGAAGGCTGGCAGAGAAGCAGGGGTAAATGAGCATCTTTGCCAATTGCCTCTAAAATGGGGTCCCCTGTAGTCTACACATGAGAGTGAGCCCTGGAATAGGGTGGATTAGGTGTTTACTGGCTCACACTGTCACTCACTAGCTGCTGCACACACTACAGGCACATGGAAATGCACACGCAAATGCACACAGGCACAGGCACACGCACACACAGGTGCGCACGCAGACATGCACACACAGGCATGCACACACAGGCATGCGGCACACACACAGGGACATGCACGCACAGGAACACAAACACGCACATTCACATGCACAGGCACACGCAGAGACATATGTATTGGCTGGCTCCTTCCTGTTTAGTTGGGAAGCCCCCACCCCTTCAGGAAGCCCCCACCCCTTCAGGAAGCCTTTGCCTTCCACCCCCGGCTGAGTCTGGGGCCTCCTAGGAGAAAGGAAAGCGCCAAGTAGTACCTGAGAGGCCAAAGTCCACGGTTGGGGTCGAGGGACAGAGGCCTCCTTCACCTCCTTCGCATGCACAGCCCTCCTTCCCATGCACAGCCCTCCTTCCCATGCACAGTCCTCCTTCCCATGCACAGCCCTCCTTCCCATGCACAGTCCTCCTTCCCATGCACAGCCCTCCTTCCCATGCACAGTCCTCCTTCCCATGCACAGTCCTCCTTCCCATGCATAGCCCTCCTTCCCATGCACAGTCCTCCTTCCCATGCACAGCCCTCCTTCCCATGCACAGCCCTCCTTCCCATGCACAGTCCTCCTTCCCATGCACAGCCCTCCTTCCCATGCACAGCCCTCCTTCCCATGCACAGTCCTCCTTCCCACCATGCACAGCCCTCCTTCCCATGCACAGCCCTCCTTCCCATGCACAGTCCTCCTTCCCATGCACAGTCCTCCTTCCCATGCACACCATGCACAGTCCTCCTTCCCATGCACAGCCCTCCTTCCCATGCACAGTCCTCCTTCCCATGCACAGGCCTCCTTCCCATGCACAGTCCTCCTTCCCATGCACAGCCCTCCTTCCCAGGCACAGTCCTCCTTCCCATGCACAGCAGCCCTCCTTCCCATGCACAGTACTCCTTCCCATGCACAGCCCTCTGGGCCTCATCGTTACTATGCTGTCAGTGCAGGCCAGCTTCCCACAGGGAGGCACCCTTGGAATTCCCCAAGGGCGGCTGTCTTTCCAAGGCTACACCCTCTTCCTTGTATAGGAGGCTCTGGACCCAGGGCCCAGAGGAGTGGAAGAAAAAGCCAGGCTTGATGGGACCTGGAAGGCTGGCAGAGAAGCAGGGGTAAATGAGCATCTTTGCCAATTGCCTCTAAAATGGGGTCCCCTGTAGTCT